CAAAGCATAAATATCCATTCAGGTACAGCCTCAAAACAGAATTCAAATCAGCCTCATTTCTATTAGATTTTTAAAATCTGTCAAATACTTACACAGTACTTACCATGTGCCAGCCTTTTATATTAAAAATACTTCAAAGGCAAGTACTTAGAAATATTAACTCATTTAATCCTTGTATAACAAGCCTATGCATTGGATTGCTTCTTCGGACACAGAGTAGTTGCATCTCCTTTTTACCTTCCCAAACCAGTCCCCATCAAGTACTAGAGTCAAACCATGAACCCGGCCTAAACAAACACTTGTGTTCCAGAGCAATTCCAAGTCACTCTTTGAAGTTTAATCAAAGTGTTTAAAAGCAAAACCCCCTAGTCAGTAACTTCAATGTAACCTATACACTTTAGTCTAAAGTGGCTGAAGCAGAAAATAAAAATAATCTTGTTTCCTTGCCACTAACTTCTCTCTTCAAGCCCCCTCCACAACCAGGAGGGGAAAACCTGAATGCTTATTTTAAGCCAGATACCCTGTTTCCCCCCCTCACACCGACCACTTTAGTGGGTAATAGCCCTGAGATCAGAGGGGTTAATTCAAGGACTTCAAGGCTTCTGCTATTAAGTGGAAGATCCAGGATTCAAGCCCCCTTCGCCCCTCTTTTTGAAGGTGGGGACCTTGCTTGTCTGTCTTTGCATACCCAGTACTTACACGTAACGTACACTTGTTGGATGAATGAACAATCCCTGGCGCCGATTCTCACTAGATGACTGACTCTGCAGTAATCTCTCTCAAATACGAATCTGACCTTACCACTGACTGATAAACCACCACCACCCTGTATCTCACAGGAACTGGAGAGTCTTGGAAACTCTATGACAACGTTTTTCAAACTGCAGCTTATGAGTGATTAGGCCTTTACCATTGTTTAAAATAAAAAATGAAATGGAATCCACAGAAGAGTGTATTGCAAGGTGGTGAGTGTTGTCTGGGAAACATTTGTGTGCATGCTGGACGTTTAAAATGTGGTCCTCACCAAAGGTTGTAGGCGAACTTTGAAAGCCGCGTTTGCAGCACTGAGTCCCTCACAGTCCTTTGACCTCTCTTTGCCTTTACACGTATTATTTCCTCATCTAGAACATTCTTCTCCTTGCCCTGTGTGGGGACCTCTGGCCATCCTTGTGCGCCGGTCTTCCTAGTGCTGTGGGTAAAGGCAGGGAACGTGCCATGTTTGTTTCCATCTTTCAGATGCCTGTAGCAGAGCTTGTCCACAGAGAGGACTCAGGAACACTCACTCTTGTGCACCTCTGCCTGCAGTCCATCTTCACTGGGCATCAGTTTATTACTTAATGTCTTGTAATTTCCCATATTGCCACAGTCCACTGTTAAAAGCAACCTAATTCCTCTATGACGAAAGCTTAAAAATAATGAAAGGTTTGAAGACAACTCACATCCACTGAGTGTGACTCTTAGATTTGTCTTGAAGGAGGTGAGCCCCATGTAACACACTAGTGATGTCATCTGCTTTTTGTTTTCCCTGCTCCCAGTACGGACACAACCCCACTTAAATCAAGAAAGCCATCAGGGGCAGATTTTAGAAAATCCATGCACTTTCCAGTGGAAAGAAACTGTGATGGGGGAGGGTAGAGCTCAGTGGTAAAGCATGCGCTTAGCATGCACTGGGTCCTGGGTTCAATACCCAGTACCTCCATCAAAACCAACCAACCAACCAACCTAATCCCGCCCACCCCTGCTAAAGAAAAAGAAAATAGGGAAGGAACATTTTTTAAAAAAGGAAAGAAACCATGACTTATCGAAAAGAGGCTGATCGACCCTGAAGGAATAAAGCAGAAAAAAAAGATGAGTAAAACTTACTCTTCGGAATTCAAATAGAATTTCTCTTCTTAGAAATGAATTGATTATGGGCAACAAAAGCTAGTATGAGGGAAAAACAAGCCTCATACAATTCTGGTTAAACCTGAAAGCAGTGTTTCCCCCATCAATTTCACTTACGTTCTTTATTTTTCATTACAACGGCTGCCTTTGGGGACAGTTACATTAAGTTCTAGAAGAAATGTGCAGAGGAGCTCCGTCACCCATCTGCCGTAGGGTGGATGGGTTTCTCTTCTTTCCGCCTACACAGCACCTACGCTTTGTGATGCAAATGCTGCAGAAATGCTGGGGAGTGCTTTCCAGCCCAGCGGCATAACTGGATTCGTGAGCGGAGGGGTTCCGTGTTGGAACACGCTCATTTTGAAGACCGGTGGGCTGCATTCTTGGCCCCAAATTCGAGGGCAGTGTAAACAGCTGAAGTGGCCACCTTTGTAGATAAGACTCTCCAGGTTTTAAAAAGGCTGTGAGGTTCTCCCTTCTCCCACCAGAGTTTCAGGCTCTACAGGGAGAACTAGGTACCTGCTTTCCTCACAGCTCGTGTCCTGGCAAAAGACCAAAGAGAAGGTAAGGTAACCTTGGGGAGGAGAGCCATCAATCACTGCAGCAAATCCTTGTCCCAGTCACAGGAAAGGAGGGGGAGACGAGGAAGATGACGGCTCCCAGGGAGGCTGGTTTGCATTTATGCAGTTCAAACTGTTTCATATCACACACCATCTGAACACAAATTCCTAAGAAACAACCCGTATCTCGGCCATCAATGTGGACTTAGGGTCTTCTGGGACTCAGGAATCAATCACAGACAATGAGAACCACAGTGAACCCCTGAACAGTGTGGGGCTGGGAGGCGCCCACCAGGTGCAGGCGAAAATCCACATGTAATTTATAATCTGCCCTCCTACTCATGCCTACCCCACGTCTGCGGGTTCCGCATCTGCAAGTTCAACCAATCTCAGATCGTGTGATCCTATAGCATTTACTGAAAAAAATCCACATATAACTGGACTCGCGCAGTTTAAACCTGTATTATTCAAGGGTCAGTTGCACAACGGGATTTTACAATTAGCCTACGGATATGAAATTAGGGTGATTCATCTAATGTCACAGTAAGCCAAGAGCAGAGCGGGGGCCGCCACAGCATGGGGCTGTTGTGGAGGGAAAGCAGTGCCAGTGTTTCCTCTCTCAGATCCAAGCCCACCTTCCTGTTCAATGCTGTCCCACTGGGGCTGGGCTCTGCAAACTACACGGCCTGCACTCCCCTGCTGGCTGGGTTCTGAGAAGCAGGCTGTGGTAGAATGGGAGGCAGGAGGAGGGAAGAGACTTTCTTCCTTTTTCTAGCTCCTGTCAGCATCTCTGCGGCTACAGAGGACCACCAGGGCTCGTTTCCAGGTTCCTTCGGTAGCCCTGGCACCAGCCATGGTGTCCCCTCAGAAGTACCAGCACGAGTGGCTGGAACTTGTTAGCGGTCTGCACGCCAGTGTGTTACACCCCAGTGAACCACTCTCCTTCCCCACCAGAGCACTGGTGCAGCGTCTCCTCCGGCGACATGAGGACCTCTCCTCTGGGCTCGCATTTATGGTTAACCCTACTTTATCCTGTGGTGGTAGCTGCTTCCTGAATTACTGAGATCTGCTACCTCAGCACGCCTTTTTGCTAAATCACCCTTGTATTAACTCACCACTGATGTTAACACCCACCATGGTTTTCCTACTGGACCCTGTCTGACACAGTACTTGTTACTGAATGAGTCTGTCACATTGCCTTTGACACACACGTCTTACAAAAACATCTAATGCATTTGCTACTTCCTGCTCCCCAGATCCAGTGCCGTGGACCAGTGTGAGGTTCTGAGGGGCATGAAGACCACCACGCTCTCTGCAGACTAGACCAGGGCGAGCACAGGAAAGTGGGCAGGGCTAGAATACAGTGCTGGCTCCCTGGCAGAACTTCTTTCTTCCCAAGTTACTCCGTTTAGATTCTGATATGTAAAAACTAGCGTGAATTCATTTCACCAACAGGAATGGGATCCGCAAATTTATCTTTGACGTCAGCGCTGTTCTCCAGCAGCATCTGCTTGACTGGAAGCAAGTGGAGGAATCTGAAAACTGTTAGTTCTCCACTAGATGGCAATCATTACGCAAATTCGCGTCAGACTCCCATCACGCTAATAGCCAAAAGACAGATCAACACATTTTGCTGATCGTAAGCAACCAACAACAGCTGGGAATGTGCCAAAGGTCTGTGACACTGGTTTGCTGTGAGGCTGTTTCAAGTCTTTCACTGACTTGTGGCAGAGACAGCTAGTTGTCCCCAAACATACTGGTTAGCGTCGGCTTGGTGATGCTGCAGTAACAAACTAACTCCAAACAGATCCCGGTGATCTGACACATTCCATGTCGCACGCAGGTTGGCAGGGCAATTCCACGCAGCCTCTGGGGGATCCAGGCTGACGGAGGCTCCAGGATCCTGGGGATGTTTCAGCTGGAACCTGTGCTTTCCTCGGTTGCTGGAGGCTGGAGCAGTAAGCCGATTTCATTTCTTAAAATAAGACAACGGTGAAGTCGGCCACACTGATTGACTTTCTTTCACAGGTGGTTCCTCTGTGGCACACAATGCAGTCTGATGGCATTTCACCCACAGGAGAACTTTTCAAAGCTGACGTCAAGCCTCTTGAGCTCTGCCGCCGCTTGTCAACTGGGTTTACATCTTATTCTCCACCTTGGGCTGTCACTTCAGCAGCCTTACGAGTAGACTCCAACTCAAAGAAACCACCTTCTTTTGCTCATTAGTAAGAAACAACCCCCCGGTCGTTCAAGTTTTATATTTATGACAAATAAAACAATAATGAAAAAGTTTGAAATATTGTGATAATTACCAAAACCTGACACAGAGATGTGAAATGAGCAAATGCTACTGGAAAACTAGTGCCTGCGGACTTGCTGGACACAGGGTGGCCACAAACTTTCAATTATAAAAAAAAACCCAGTATCTGCGAAGCAGGATAAAACGTACACAGAGAGATGGGCAGAGGGTTCAGGACAGAGTGGGAGGAAGAGCCTGGAAGCGAGTTCTGGCCATGCTTCCTCTAGCAGTTGTGAAAAGAAGAGACCAGACACCAGAAGTCAGAGCGATGGAGAGCATCTTCATTTATAGAACACGTCTACAGTTTACAAAGGACTGTCGCTTACATGATCTCATGTTACTCTCAGAACAATCTGCGAAGTGGAAATATGTCACATTTCACAAGTGAGGAACTGCTGCTCTGAGACGCCGCTGTCACCTGTGGAAAGGCACTACCTTCTCTAGTCGTTTCTCCCCTCCTCTCACTCTTCCTTCTCAGGAAAGCCTTTTCTCCTGTATTTCCCCTTAAAATACTTGTCATCGGTCCTCTCCTGTTCTCCTGCTGGGCCCTCTCTTCAGGCGACCTCATCGACCCCCAGGTTTCAGCCACTGCAGATAAACCGACATCTGCCAAGTCTACGGTGCGGAGCTGGGGCAGCCCGGGGAGCACCTGACCTACAGACACACAGCTTCTGCCTGAGCTCTGACATTCACCACGTGTGCCCGAGATGAGGTGCACGACGGGCGGTCCCAGGCTCACAGAAGCAGCCGACAGGGACGGTGAGGAGGGAGGAGGCTGGTGCTCAGCGGAGGGATAGGCCTGGCGAAAGCCACTGGAGCTCAAGGGTATGCAAATCCTAAATTCTCAGCATTATTTTTCAATATTTTGATTTTTGATTCCCATGCTAACTCTTTATACATGGTCTTAATTTCAAGTTGCTTCAATTCTTTCTTTAAAAGCAAGAGAAGTTTAAAATATGAATCTGAATGACACAAGAACCTTGTATGGTAGACAAGCCAAGTATTATTATTAATTTTACAATTCACTCACGCACCCAAGCACTCACTCACTGATTTGTTCAAATGTTTACTGAGCACTTTTTATGTGCCAGGGATGGTGCAAGGCGTTGGGTTTAACAATGATTAAGACAATCCCCCAAGGAGCTCACAGTCTAATGGTAAACTACTGAGTTACTGAGGCACAGTGGTAAATGACTTACCCATGAGGTAGAAAGAGCTAGGTACTTGGAAATGTGGGACAAGAGCGGGAGAGAGGGTAGGGGACAACTAGCACGTCGTAAGGAAACCCCTCTGACTGAAGGGCAAGGCTGCTTACAGAAACACATCACAAAATCTGCTTGCAAAAAAGGTTAAAATACTTTGCAGTTTTTACCATGATTGAATTCATGTCTTGCAAGGAATTAAGTCATGACGTGATGGCATTTCTACACTTGCCCCCAAAGCTTGGGGTGTGCCACCAGTCTGCTCAGACACGATGGCTCTGTAGGGAGCTTGAAGTCCAATTTTAGCACTGGGAACCTCATTGAAATGCTTTAATTAAATCCATGAACTTCAAATGTGTAGCATATTTATGATACTTCTACATGTAGAAATTAGGAAAAAACTTGCCTCTAACCCTCATTCAGAGGATTCTAATAAGTTACAGATACCACAGAAGTTAGAGAATATGTCTGCTACTTTCCATATATACATTATTTCGGCTGTACAAGGGTGAAAAGTTTCACTCAGACATATTTCATAAGTCATCTAAACATTATACAAATATATACAAAGACATCACGTCCAGAGTGTGTGTACACCATCCATTGCAGACATGAACCCGTGTAAGGCAATTTCTCTCATGATAACAACACATGATCCGTGCAGGAAAGGGCAGAGTCCACGAAGAACCGTCCATCCAGCCTGCCTGTCTTTCAGTGATAATTTTTTGTGATTCAGTAATTTCAGGAGGCAAGATGTCTATTTCACTGACAAAAAGCAGTGAATAATTATAAAAAGAGTTGTTTTCAAATGCGGAAACCATAATCATCCAGTAATCTAAGTAGTGAACTATTCAAAGGTACTACTGGCCTGACTGCTGCTACTGAGAATGAGAAACGTCAGGGATGATTTATTGCTCTGAGAATCACATCTGAAGTAGAATTCATCCACGCAGAATGTTCCAACAGGACCCAGCACACCAATCCTCAGACGCCATCAGTTGCTCACTTCGAGCAATTCTTCATTTTGCTGTGGAGGATTTTCTTCTGAAAAATAAACCCGAGAGAAACCATTCTATGTGAAGGTCTGAAAGGCAGGTAATAGAACACACAGCCCAAGTGCTGAAGGAAACCGGAAGACCCGAGTCAGGAACCATAATCTTATGTTAATGGCCTAAGCCTCAAGTTTTCAGTTTCCCAAGAGTAAACCAGAACTCAAACATGTACCTGGAAGGACCATCAGAGGACACAGACAGCTAGGAAGAGTAAAAATATCTATAAGGCCGTAACAGTCATTTATAAAACTATATATATTTAAAAAATCATTAGAATCCTAGATTTTCCTAGTCACAAAACTGGTGCACTTACCTTTATTAGGGTGTTCTGGATGTTTGCTTTTAGATGAGGAGGTACCATCCGACCGTTTATTACTTGAGTGACCCTGCTCCACTTCACATAAATAAACATCAATGGGCCCCTTGGTGCTCCTTATATGCACTGTGATGGAATCCTAGCAAATGACACATGAAACACCGAGACGAATGAGAAAATTCATTCATTATAGTTTTTCACTTACTAGAACTGCAAATGTTCCAAGGAACACTTCTGAAAATTTTAATTTAGGTAGTTTCCTTTCCATCACATATTTGAGAAAATCATACACTCAGTTAGCTTTAGTCACATGAAACCACTGGCCAACACACACAGTTAAACCAGCTACCCGGTCATACAGGGGAGGCTTCAGAGCCCAAAGGGGACCACCTCAGCACGCAGGAGCTCATCTGTCTCTCCTCAAGGAGTTGGCCCCTTTAAGAAGTCTGAACTGGAGACTCCAAAATCAGTGTTCTGATGACAAAGAAATCTAAAACAGTCTGTCAACTCAAATGATAACAGTGTGCTAAGATTTCAGACCACTGGAGAGGTACTGAGCTGAATGAAAGGATTATTCTTCCATCCACTTGAAAAAGAGGATGAAGCCACGCCAAAATATACCTATTGAAATTTAAAACGTTAAATCCAAAAGATACCAGGTAATCAGTTGCTTCTACTGGGAATTGTGCTAAATTCTTAGGGAACAGTTCAGTCATAGAGGACTCCTTTGTTGTTTTGACTGGGAGTGGCTTCAACGGCAAAGTCAAGTCTATTTCCTTTCCTCCCAGACGGTTAGGCCTGGGCTAGGTACCTGGCACCCCACGCCCTTCCTGCTCACTGTGACCTCACAGCACACTGTGACCTCACAGCACACTGTGACCTCACAGCAGAGGGTCTCTGGACCTCCAGTGTCATCGCCCTTCCCGTAGCTTCCTGGTAGCAGGCAGATGGGCTGAAGAACATCTGTGCTCAGCTCATAGATGGCCAGGCCAGGTCTGGTTTGAAGGGTACACCCTGCACAACTCAATACTTCTGAAGCAAGGAAACCGGTAAGCTGCTCAGAAGCGGCGGCTGAGGATCACAGGGTCTATTAAGTCAGGGATTGGCCAAAGTCTTCTGGGCAGGGCGAGGTAGTAAATATTTTTGACTTTGCAGGTCATATCATCCCTCTCACAACTACACACCTTTGCCATTACAGAGTGAAAGCAGCCAGCGACAATATCTAAACAAACGGGCATGCGGCTGTGTCCTGATGCAATTATTTACAAAAGCCCAGCAGGCTGGACTTGACCTGAAGGCCAGTCCATCCGCCCCAGCACTAGATCCCCAGACCTCTCCCCATATCTCTGTGGAATTGGACTCTTTGTCCATCGCTCCCACTGACTTTCCCTACTGCTAAGAATGGCTGCCAAGAGGGCCCACGTTCCTCGGCTTTTAAATGGGACTCTAAGAGACATCTTGGGCCTGATCAAAGGCTCAGCAAGATTTGGCAATTACAGCCTGAAGCAGCTCACAGTACAGGGGAAAAAACAAAAACTCATCAGTCACTGCAGAAATGGACTACCATGCCCCAAAGTGAGGATGTGTTGAAAGACTAGTGATAAGTTACGTATGAATGTGACTATGTGAAATGTGCCATATTAAATATACATGTTACTTAGGAGATCTGGAATATACCCACAACTAAATAAAACAACTAGAAAGTATTACTAAGAAGACACAATTTGAGTGTGACTGGAGTAAAAGAAAGCTGTTCCTTTACCTACAGTACACTGACAAACAGCAACCGGGGTCTCACACGGACAGTGCTCTGCTGGGGATGACAGGAAAGGCGGGTGGTGAGAAATTGCTCTACTCTGAGGGAGGTTAAGCCCCTCTCACAACGAGGAGGACATCACTCTAGCACCAAGGGGCTGTCGGAACTTGACTTGCTCCAAGAATGGCCACATTACTTGGTTCTGGTTCCATCCTTACCAGGAAAACTTCTGATGACAACTATCTTTCAATACAAACTTTCTCGCAAGAAAAAGTGTGCTGAGCAGCTGGCAGCTAACAACATTTTCACTGACACAGCCATTTCACTTTTCATTTTAAATGTGTGACTCAGTATTCTCTTTTATTCATTAGTCTTTTATGAGTTGGGTGAGTGAGTTAATTCCCTAGAGCCCTGGCTGACACCAGATCTTACTTTTGGAACTTTAACACTGACGCCAATTCTTGGTAATCCCGCTAAGAGGCACTGAAATACAACGGTTAACAACAAACCCAGAAGTCAAACGATTCGGTCACTTCCTGTGTCATTGTGAGAGTTTATCAATGTTTCTGTGCTTCAGATTCCTCATCTTTAAAAGGATAATCATCATGACTGCTACTCCATTTGTGGTGCTACTCCAAACAAGTTAAAACGTGTAACAAGCCCGATCCAGCATCAGGCATGCCGCTAACGTGGACAGAGAGGTTATCGGGTTACTATGCCTGCAATAAAGCGCAGCCTAAGCAGCTGGCCTGCTTCCCTCTTAAATCTTAAAAATGCAGGGCTACCTACTTCTCTGGGAGCTGGAACATCCAATCTGGTTTCTGCTGGAGCTTTAACTGCGATAACAATCTGTTCATGGAAGGCTTGAATGCTATGAATATCTTGATACGTCACATATGCTAGTGTAAAAATCAGTCAAGGATCTCCAAGCAGAGTGGGGAGATAATTTATCCCATAACACATGAATGTGTGTAATTTTAGAATAGCTTCAGTTTTTATGGAATACAAACTCACGATTAAGGAAAGTAGTAAAAAAATAATTTCGTATATAATCCTCATTATTTCATCAACAATTCTTAAAATTTTATAAAGTTTCTTACAATATTTGTAACTCAAAAAATCTCTTTAAACTGTACTACTGTGGGTATGATGACAATTTCTGGAGAAAAATATTAATAAAGTCTGAACCATAAATATAATGCATGAAGGTATTCAAACCTCCCCACTCTCTTCCCTATTCACTGCTAGAGCTTACTATGAGGACCTTTGGGAAAAAATATTCAGTCTGATGAGAATCTTCTAAAATGTAAGGTGGAAAGAATCTGTAAAAAGTAGAAACAACTTAGAGAATCAGGTTTTCTGGACCATCGTGTATTCAGGGGATTTTCCTCACCCAAAATTACTTTCCATCTCACTACCTGAATTTTTTTCATCTTATTTTATTGTGTTGCCTGAAATTTCACCAATTACGTGATTTACTGGGTTTCCCCAGCATTCTTTTTTGACTCCACAGACCTTTTGATTGGGTGTAGTAATAGCATTTATTTTCCTTCTAATAACTGAAACTGTGGAAACAGGAGTTATGACTGGTGTGGAGATAATACGTAAATGTGAAGCATGGAACAGCTCAAAATCAGTGACACCTCAGAAAGGTGCCACAGGGAAACAGGTGCCAAACAGTCTAGGAGACCCAGGAGGAGGTCAGCACCGAAGGCAAGTCTCCTACTCTGGTCCCGGGGACTCGGAGCTTAAGAAGAGCATCGACATTCGACCAGGCTTTGTGAATTAGGATGGCAGTTTAAGTACCATTTCTACAGCAGTTCATTCACTTCTAAAGGTCTAATTTTGTATCTTCAATATACTAATTAAATCCCTAAGCTGACCCTACTACTCAAAGAAACCTGCCAGGAAGAAGAAATTTTTTTAAAAGGCACAGAGTTAAAGGATATCTTTCATTTTCTTTGTCATCTGTCAACTCAAACAACTGCTGAGCACAATCCTTAATTAACTCATCCAGAGCATCTTCCATCGCTGACAAGTCAGAAAGTTCCTCCTGCAGCTTCTTCTGTTGGGGCATGGCTCCAAAATTGCTAAGATCTGATCCTCTTTAAAAGAAAAAGATCACCATCAATACCATCTAGGAGATCACAAAACAATACCAGTTAAGTCACTCACTGGAGCTTCTTCAAATATTTGCAGCAGGTGTTTCCCACAATGACAGACAGAAACCAGGAACTGAACTCCACTCCTGTCCTCCCATTATTCTAGACAACCATCGTTCCTTCTGGTTTTTGTCTCCAGTTCTATTCTCTTACATAGGGACTTTAAAAAACAAAACCAACTCTATAACCCTATGGAAATTAGCAGTAGCACGCAAAGCTGAATGAAGTTGAATGAGCACTGGGCTAAGAATCAACAACACCCGGTTTTATCCCCAGCTCTACTTCTTACAGCGTGACTTGACAAGTTACAATCTTTGAATCCCTTAGTTTTTACAGATGAAATACAAGGACTATTGGCCAAATCATGGTTCCTCTGCTAAAATTGAGTCTTTATTTTTCCCTACTGTGCATTTTTTATCCGGTTCTATCTGAATATGATTATACAATTTTTAAAAGATATATTTTCTTTATTACTATCTACCCCAATATGACATGACCTGAGTAACAACTGTTATTCATTGTTTTCTTCAATCTTTACAGAAAATACAGAGGGAAAAGGCTGCTACTTTATCTTTCGCTTGCTAGTTCCCAAATTAGTGATTCAGAACATAATCTGATATTAACCCCTGAAGTGCTGTTTAATGTTATTTTGCAAACATTCTCAAATTACAATTCAATTTGCATTTCCGTACCATTGAAGAAGTAACCTCCCTTATGAACCCCTTTCCTCTAACAGCTAAGTTAATTTTAGAGTCATTTTACAATCTTTGTTGGTAGAGTTTTCATTTGCCTGAAAGGTCTCTGGAACTATTATACCCTGGAACTATTTCTTACTGATCCAAAATACTTGCCTATTGTAAGTACAACAGCCTTCTCCCTGTGTGTGTGCCCCCATGCGCACGCATGCACACGCACACACCTGTATCTATGTCTGCACCTCTACCATAAGGTCTCTGAGATCCTTCCTAACTATACGCTGTCTTTAGCAATTACCTTGTAGACATTAAGACTCCTCTTTTTTCACATCCTGGGCACTGTGTTCCGAATGTCGTAACCAGAGGGTAGTTGTTAAAAAGTGAGACATCTGCCCTCTGCCGGCACTGAGTAACAGCCTCTGGGGAGGGAGGGAGGCCTCCAAGTGTTTGTTACACACTGTGCAAGAACCACTGTTTTACAGCCTTAACTACTTCCCAATGTCAACAATCAACTGAAACTAAGGAAATATTAAAAACAAAAACAAAACAAAAAACTCCTGTGCAGTCAGATTCCCCTGTCTTATCTTGAAAAGCAAAACTCTTAAAACTAATCATGATTTCATTTAACTTTACCATAATACTAGAATGATTTTCCATAATATTAGAATGAATGGTACCAATGATATTCTACTCTAAGCAGGAAAAAATTATTTACATACTTTGTGGGACAATGTAAGACAATTTTATAGAATCCTTCTCTAACAAAAATTCGCATCTTTGTTTTAATAGTCAAAACACTGCTAGTATCTAATTTGTTTTAAGCATAGTATCATCACTTCATGAGAAGGGGAAAAAACATGCAAAGTCTGAAATCAGCTTACATCCATCGAATATGATTCTTAGACTTTTTTTCAACCAGATCAATTCCATCCAAGACATTGGTGATGTCATACACTCTTCGTTTCCGTACTCCCAGTTTTGTTGCAACCTTGTTTAAGTCAAGAATACCCCCAGGAGCAGATCTGACAAGATCCATAAATTTTCGAGTTAAATAAACCAGTGATACATCAAAACGAGGTCTCTTCACTTTTAGAGCTTCTGGGAAACAAAACAAAGACAACTTGTAAAATTTTAAATAGCATTTCTTTCTCAACTCATTGAAAAAAACCCATTTATTTCTTCTTGATCAGTAAGCATAGACACCTACAGAAATTCTACAGACTGCCTAAAATCATGGCTAATTTTTACGAGATAGATTTCTATAAAATAACAAATGTATTTCCACTCTACTTTTTATGGCTGCATAGTATTTAACTGCATAGATTATCTGCAAATTTACCCCAATATAGGAAATTCAGAGTGTCTCCAGTTTTACTACTTTGCACAATACTTTAATGAATCTCCTAGTAGCTAAATTTTGATATGCATCTCTGTTCCCTTTAGTTAAGTTCCAAGATGTGGAATTGTTGAGTAAAAGGGTCTTTTGAAGTGTACTGCTACACCTGCTGACAGAACGAAGATTCTATCAATTTTACGCAGTGGGTGAGGGCCTCATCTCACGCCCTTGCCAAAACTAAATATAATCATTCTTTTCATCTCTCCCAATTTGATACTAAATAAAAAGGTCTTATGGTTAAGTGTGCAGAGGAAATAATTCTACAGATAATTCAGTTGTCCTTTTGGGGTGGAGAATGTGATTACTCCTTAATTCAACTTTCAGAGCGCACCGCAGTCGGTATGCTTCAGAGGAAATACCCACCCTTGCCCACAACCCCCGCAACACCATGTTCAGTTTAAAAACCACTCGTGGTTACTCCAAGAAACCAAAGTACGTATTTTAGAATATAAACATTTTCTCTGTGGAGACCACTCCTATACCTAAGATTAAATGGGATTAAATAGGAATTAAACTTTTTAAAAAATTCTAAGCAGAAGACAGTCACAATTGTACAACAAATCTTGGAAGACTACAAATGAGCGATTCCGATTTAAGAAACATTTACAAGTGAGCCCTGAACAACGCACGAGTTACCCTGTGTGTGATTCACAGTAGCCCCTGCACCTGCGGTTCCTCCAAATCTGCGGACTCAACCAGCCCTGGACTGCTTCGTACTGCAGTGTTTACCACTGAAAAATCCGCATATAAGTGGACTGCAGTTTAAACTCATGTTGTTCAAAGATCAACTATAATTACACTAAATTACTAACAAGGCATGGTCCTATAAGTTCAGGATAAGCATATTCCTGTGTTAGTCATTTTATAAAGAACAGATATAAACTGAACACCTATAACATGACAGTTGCTGAAGGGATAAAAACATGAATAAAACAGTCTTCAAACTAAAGGAACTCCACATTCAATAGTTTAGCAGGAACCCTACGCAAAGCCCAGAGACGAGTGTGAGAGAGTTACATGCGAAGTTACATGCGAAGATAAAGCTCATGACAGTGGAAACAGGGAAGGTCCCCTAGCGAGCGTGGCCGGGAACAGAGCACAGAAAGACTAGACAGGGAGGGGTTCTCGAGCACTCACGGGGACGAGGGGCTGAGCGAGGAGAGGAAACAATAGAGCAGCCCGCGAGGACACAGTGTATTCAGGGCTCCCACAGCGTGTGCAGCGTTAGTAATGGGGAGGGTGCAGACGGCCTGGGGGGGGGGAAGGCTGCAAAGTGAAGCAAGAAACAGCCCTCAAGGGCCTCGTCCTTCTGTCTGTCCATTCTCTCTTGCCTTGTTTCTTTTAAGGATATGAAGTGGGTTATGAATTTAATATAAACAAATAAAACCAAACAAATGAGTCAGGATTTTTCCTATATATAACAGAGCATCACTGAAGACTTCTAGGTTGAGTGATGTCATCACCGCCCTTCTGTGTTAGAGAAACTACACTGGCAGCAGAATTAAGAGGTGAGGGGTGCCTGGCTCTGCGATCTCTTCTGTCTGGGAGGGGGCAAGCCTGCCCGAGGCAGGAGCCAAACATGTGGGTGAGGCTGTGGGCTGAAGTTGGAGGCTCGGGGCTGAATTCTGATGGAGCAAGTTACTTAACCTCTCTGAACCTAAAACTAAGGCTTATCTATAAAACAGGACTAATAATCCATACTGTATTTGAAGGTTGTGATAATCCATGCAAAGAGCCTAACACAAGGCCAAGCCCTGAACGAGCTCAATAAACATCAGACGTGACTGCGAGTGGGTGGTACGAGGCAGACGAAGGAAACGCTTTCAGAGTAAAACTGACCAAACGTCGGGGCCAGATATGGGTGGGGCTGTGGCGGGGCAGAGAAGTGAAGGCTCATGTTAAGATGTGCAGTGGGCGTCTATGCACCGTCTACCCACTGAGATTAGGAGCACATTAAGAGGAAATTGGGGTGGGGCCATTTATCGGGACAATTTCCAGAAAGATAAGGAACTAGAGCAACTAACATTCCATTTCCTGTAACGGGCTCTGAACACCGATCCACGGCAGGAGTAGAAGGAAAAATCAAAGGAAACCAGGAGGGCAGAAGAGCATCCTCATGCTTGCTGCCCGAGAGGGCCTTCAGCCCTGCTGACGGCAACACGCGCTCTCACAGAATTCTGGGAAACATCCGCCAACACAGACCAGTCCACTCCAAAAGCGCCACTTCCAAAGCAACAGAGAATAAACTGGCATTTGTGCATGTTAACAGCCCACAACCCCAGGAGTTTTTGCTGAAATTTCAAGCTTTACATTTCAGTGTACAAATAATATTTTATTTAAGTTACTTACCAACTTATGTACATTTAAAGTAAATCATTTAAAATCACATGAAGTTCAAACTACAAAACCTAAAACCTATTCAGGAATCAACTTACTTCTCATGGACACATATTGTACATTATCTTCTAAATTAATCCTTATTTTTGATGGCTGAAAAAAAGAAGATACAGAAATTAATTAGTAATTTAAAATGCAAATGAACAGCAAAAGGCAAAAAAATGCAAACAAACAGCATTTTACTGGATAATAATAAAGGTTTTTTTCTCACCCTGGGATGATAATTTGGGTGTAAGAAAACCAGTTCTTCTTCTAATACTTACGCTAACTGTAATCACATCTGACAAGGTTCACAGATTTGAATTTCTAATACTGCATGGTCCTCCGTAAGTACAGAACAGTAGTTAAAGAAACAGGGGTGGGGGAGAAAGGAATAGGGGAATGTGAATATGAGAATTTATTACTAACAGACACTAATTTACTAATGGCATCAGGTACTGAGGATAAAAATACAAAGACGATCAGGACACTGTCCCTGACTCTGGGAAGCGCAGAAGTCTAAGATACATCTAAACTAACAAATGGTCACCCCTTGCTAATTAAGTGTAAGTGGTTCCAAGAAATGTGCTCATAAACTTTCACAGGCAGCCTTGCATTCCCGTGATAATTAATGTAAAAACAGCATTTTTAATAATAGAAAATAACGCACACTATGTAACTAGGAACTTTGGTATTAGATTAATTAAAAATCTCTCTTAAATCCTTCAGACAACCAGGAAAATTAGTAGTAGCTCCACTATCAACGCTCACCATTTCACCAGTTATTTCGAGGCTAGGAAAGTTTATATAAACTGGTAGTAACATCTGCAATACTTTTAGAAATTGTTTTTGCAAACAATAAAATCTTTAGATGAAGCCGTGTAAACAGAAACCCGTATTAGCCTCGTGCTTAGAACAAAGGATAATGATGCCATGCTCCTCCAGACAAGCCCCGTGCAGGTTTAGTTCTTATGTAAGTGAAAAAACTGGCCCCAAACTGGCCGCAGAAGTGGGAATGTGAACGCCATAAGGCACCTGAGAGAAGAATCAGCAGTACCACGGATGTGCCCAGCGAGGAAATCAAAGGGGTTCACAGGGAAGGGGATCCCTAGCTGAGCCTTGAAAGACAAGCCAGATTTTGCCCCAACCTGTGGGAGCCTGGGGGGGTGGGAAGGAAAAAAAACAGGGCTCCTGGGGCAGCAAGTGAAATAAACAAAGATGTGAAAACAGAAATAGCCTGGCACCTTTTGAGAACCCGCCTGAGCAGCCAGTGCGAAACCGACTTGATACTGAGGCTGAAGGGCAGGCTAGCACCTTGCCAACGCGGAAGACCGTGAAAGGAACGCTAAGGAGTCTGAACTTTAGGCTGTAACCAGAGCAGAACCACCACAGATTTCTGAACAAGAGAATGACGAACTCAGGCTCGTGGGTTAGAGATCTAAGTGTGTTAGCAATGTGACAAAGAGACTGGAGGATGGGGAAGCCTGAAGCCGAGGTGAGCCTCTCCTTGCTTTTCAGTGACACAAATCCTTGACACAAGGATTCGTTTATCATCTATGACAAGATGACAGCACCTGTCAGCGAGTTAACCTGATAGGGAACCATTCCCCTGAAGCAGAGCTCCACTGTGAAGTGAACTGAGTTGTTAGAATTTAAAGCAACATATAGGCCTGCTGGGTGCAAAACCCCAGTTGAGAATGCCCGTCTTGGGGGCAGGGGCTCTGCCTGGCTCTCTCTTGCACAGGGCTGACCACGGTGACTTGCAAATACAGTATCCAACAGTCAGCCACTGAAGGGCAGTCCTATTAAAGTCAAACATCAGACCAGTATGACCAACTGTCACAGCTACTTTTACATTCAACCCTTCTGCTAACACAGTATGAGACAGAGTTGAAATACTGTCTCAAGACTCTCAAATGACAAAAAATCCACCCTCATCACATTGGTTTGGAACACACAAACAAATACCCTAAATGATACACATATTATGGTTGGTTCATGAGTTTTCTATTCGGTCCATGATCTGTTACTTATGTATCTGCAACATACTATTTTAATTACTACAATGTTAAAGTAAATTCCGCCATCACGTCAGTGCAGTCCTGACAACGCACACAGACAGGGTTAACAGAGCAGAGCCCGCGGCGCTTTACTGTAAACAGGCTTCTGTTCTTAGTAGCAGGGCCAAGTTCTACACTCACAGTACTCAGCTGTTTCCAAACAGGCTGCCTCCCTACCTGCTCTCCACATACTCTAGAAGGGCAGCTTTTCCTGCTCAATACTCCTCCCTCTGGTCTCTTATCTAGACCGTTGCTATTCAGCTTGGCACAAGGATAATAAGACCTCAGTCAGGCACAGTAACATGAGAAAGTATGACTTCCTTTCCCCCACATTCTTTGCTATAAACTACATATTGGCTATACTGAGATCTGTGGGAGAACAGATTCCAACAGCATCCATTCATTTTTTTCCCCTTTGAATATAAAAACACTATCCCTTTATCTTGGAGGAATCATAACAGTGTCACGCCCTTCGGGGCAGACATGCCAAAGGAACATCATCTGAATCCTACAGATCTACAATCCTGGAGATTTCCAAAGTGCTTACAGCAATGACACATTCATCTCATTTATATTCAGAATTGTTCTTGACTAGAGACTGGGTTCAGGACTACTAGGACTTCTTAAATGCTGGGAGATCCCAGCCCGTATCTGCAACACAGTGTAGGAATATAACTTTTTACTGCCCATTTTCCAAGCTATTGCAAAGATTAAATGACAGATTTTGTAAACTGTAAAAATCCTATGAAAGCACAAGAGACTACTTATTATTGTTTTCCTTCTTGAACCGGAACAGTGCCTGGCACATTCAGGCACTTGGTAAATATTTGTTAAACTAATGAACAGAGACTGAAATAGGACCTCATCGAAGATGACTTCAACTGACAAATAACAATGAGTGTTTACAGACACAGGGACGGGGGAAGACACCCTCCTGGGAACATTAATAAGGATCACTGAGAGACCATGAAGCCTCACTGCCTGTTTTCTAAATTCGCCATCTGGATAGAGTCAGTCTGACAATCCTGGCAAGCCCTCCCAGCTTCTCTGACTTTGGTGAGTCACATTCAACAGGTGAGCTTTTCGGGGAGTAAACGGGACTAGACAGGACCTCCCTTTTGAAGTGGTTTAAAATCAGAATAAATGCTTCCTCATACAAAAGTTAGCAAGCTATCAAAAAAAAAAAAAGTAAATGAAATGCCACCCCTGCACATGGCCCGCCAGAACAGAACCGGGTACCTGGCGCTGGAGGGAGACAATGAGGCTCTCCCTCCAAGGGCACAGAGAGGAGGTGAGAAGAGGGGCCCCCACTCCAGGTGAGGAACGATGACCCCCAATGGGAGACTGATTGTGTGAACCCTTTCAGGGACATCCATTATTTTTAAAATTTTGAAATAATCTCAGCCTTCAGAAAAGGTGCAGAAACAGTACCAACAATTACCACATACCCTTCACCCAAACCCCTCAAATGTTAATGTTTTGCGTTTGCTTTATCATCTTTTTCTCTATACACACGTGCTTTTTTTTTTTCCTCTGAATCATCTGAGTGTAAACTGCAGACCCCTAAATAATTCAGTGTTTATCTCAAGGACAGTCTCTGACACAACCACAATATAACTACCAAAAAGTCTGTTCAAGACTAAGCAGTCTTGATAAGCAACAAGTTCATAACTGTATAGCACAAGGAACTATATTCAATATCTTGCAGTAACTTCTAATGAAAAAGAATATGAAAACGAATACATGTATGTTCACACATGACTGAAGCATTGTGCTATACACCAGAAACTGACACATTGTAAACCGACTACACTTCAATAAAATACATGTACAAAAAACGGAAAAAAAAAAAGACTAAGCAGTCTTGAAAAAGTCTGTCAGAAGAAATCTGGACTTCAAGGACACTGCCAGTAAGGGTTCAAAAGGACAGGGGAACTTACAGAAACTTGAAGAAGGGGGATCCTTGTTATGCTAAGACAGAGCACTTAGCAACAGTATCAACTGCAGTTCTGAGGAAAGTTGATGCTAATGAACAGGGTAATCCTACCAAGGAGATTTCCAGGCAGCACTCACCGCCCTTGCAGCTCATCATGCAAGATGAGGGAGACTGAGGAAAGAACTGCTGAACAAAAGGAAGCCAGGATTTAGTGGCTTTAAAAATTCTCAGCCTCTCAAGAAGCTAAAAATTAAGAAATGACTTCTCAGAAAGACCAAATCAAAGGCAGACACCATAACCTAAAGATGAAGGTGTGGGTGTGACTACAGTTTTTGCTGGAGCCCTCAGGGATCAAAATGGTCCCTTGGAGAACTACTCAGTCACACAAAAGGCCCCAGAAGGAGAGTAAGAATGGACCTCGCAGATCTCTTGCTCTAATGACAGGGCCACAGGGAGCTGCAGGCACTGTCCCTCGGCTACCCCAGCAGAAGTCCAGGGTAGAGAAGAGTTGATCTTGAAGAAATCTATGGGTGGGACTTCCATCTAGTGAGTGAACCACAAGCTTAACAGTAGTTTTTGAGAGAATTATATCAGCAAAACCACTGCCAGCTTGGACTAAAAGGGACAAAGACAGTTCAAACAGAGAAGAGGCCATTGGACACCCCAAATTCTGCTGACAGGCTGAAAAAAGCACTCACCTATGAATAGATATCACCTTTCATGAAAAAGACAGACTCAGATGGTGGCGCCAAGAGCCCAGGGGGAGACGTGGGAGCATGGAGAACTGTTTCCAAGCCTTGAGACCTAATTAAGAAATTTCTCACCCTCACCAGGCTGGATTTCAGAACTGCTCTGGGCCAGGTACTCCTCGGTGCCTCCCATTTCCTCTTTATGAACAGGACTGTCTACAGCAGTTACCCTGTGTCTTCCCCACTAGCGTATGCTGTAGCTGCGTGCTGGGTGTGTGTGTGGGGGGTCAGATAACTTGTCTTTTTAGTCTTACAGACCTAAAGATCTGGAGGAACCATACTTGAAAGGCTGTACTTAAAGAATTACACCTGAGGAGCTTGAATTCTTATCCTATTCTCTGAGCATAAAATCTGTTATTGTGAGACTCAAATTGCGAGAAATACGCTTTAAAAAGATGATTACGGTTAGTCACTCTGTGGCAAATATAAAAACTCGGGGGCAAGCCAAGTATCAGGAAAACTGGTTAAGAACACACTGCAACAATCCAAAACACAGACTGTGGCTAAAAGTGGCAAGTACTGGTGATTAACTTTAACTAGACAGAGAGATGGAGAGGGTCAGTTTGAAAGAGAAAATGCAAGGGTGATGCCCAGGACACTAGCTTGGGCAATGTGGTGGGTGTGGTGCCATTTACAGCAGGAGACAGCAAGCTGTTGCTTGCTTAGGCAAGAAGATAATGAATTCGATTTTGGATATATGAGTTTGAAATCTAAGTAGAGATCTCCCAGTAGACAGAAAGCTATGAGCTGGATTTATAGGTTTGGGACTTACTATGACATGGTAACCAAAACTACCAGAGTGGGTGAGAATTTCCAAGACTTCAAGGGCTGTATGTATCTTCTAATATTAAATACAAAATTAAGTAGTTTTTTCCATAGTAAGAGTTTAGAACTTTTAGCATGTTCTCAAAGATTAAGACCATCAATATAAACAGTAAGAGAAGTCATGACAGTGGTGCATGACATCTCACGTGAAGGAACTGTGAAGAAGGCAGAAGATCTGAGTAACATCAACATGGAAGGAAAGGGAAAAGGAAGAGGAGTCTGCGAAGGAGAACAAAAGAAGCCAGATGAGCAGATGGAGAGCCGAGATTAGGTGTCCAAGGAGCTATTCCATGGTGAGAGTTTCCAAACAAAAGTGAGCGGTCAATCATGTCAAAGCTACAGAAGATACATAGTGAAACATCCACTGGAAGTGACAAGCTTGTTGGTGACCTTGGTAGGAAGTCTTAGAGCTCTGCTTGGGGCAGAGGCCCCTCCCCCGACAGCAAGGCAAAGTGGTAACGACAGGAGAGCAAGTAGACCCAGGAGTGCAAACAATTTTTTCAAAAAGTTTGGCTGTGAAGGGGGAGCGATACCACAGATGGGAGGGCATACGGAAGGAATTAAGGGAGGGATCTTTCAAGATGCAAAAGGATTCAGGATGTGGTTTAAGTAGTCGAGAATTTACCATCCGGAGTCAGATCCTGTGAGGTTAAATCCAGGCTTTTCTACTTACTAGCTAAATACACGGAAGCCACTTAACATCTCCAAGTCTATTTTGGTAATTATAAAACAAGAATAAACCCTTAGGACTGCCCTGCAGAACTAAAGGAGATAATGTTCATAAACTATTTTTGAGCACCGAGTCTTCTTGGTGTCTGGGCACACTAACTCCAGGAAATGTTTAGTTACTAGTAATCAGAAGAAACCAGCAGAGAAATTGATAATGTCGGGAGAATGGAAAATGATGGTTCATCGAGGGTCCTGAGGATTAAGGAAAATCTACTGCATCTAGTCCAGAACAACAGACAAAATTAACCTTTTTGCAGGGAGTCCAAACTCTCTTTCATTTTCTCTGTCAAACAGGATGGAAGATAATTTGCTGAACGGGGAGGCTCTGGGTGGGAAATGTGAGGTGTGGACAAGTTTTAAGTGGCTGAAGTAGGAGAGCGGGAGAGGAGGCTGAAGAGAACAACTGAGAAACAGCTTGCAGAGATAGTGAGAAATGGAAAAGCATGATTATCTCAGGCAAAGTTGAGAAATTTTCTCCTACACTGCTCCGTAGCCGCGGTAAAAGCCAGGGAGGCTGACAACATATTTGCAAGCAGATGCTGAAGGGAGAAGAGTTTAAGCAGGTGGCCGGTCTGGTTCACAGGACGTGATGGGGCAGTGCGAAAGCCGGGGAGGCCGAGGAGCAGCCCCGGGCCCAGCCCCGGGGAGGTCACGACCGAGGCGACTGCCAGTCCAGCCTCTCCGCGGGCCGGGTACCTCCACCTCCACCCCCACCCGACGGCCCCGCGCTGGAACACACGCCGTCCCCGGGGCTTACCAGCAGCCCCTCCACGTTGATGGGGTCCCGGCACCGGCGGCGAACCGTCTCCTCCGCCGGGTCCACGAGCAGGCTGGGCAGCTTCCGCGCCGGCCGCTGCTGACTCATGCTGCCCAGCCGGCCGCCCCTCGCCCTCGCACCCCGCGAGCTCTCCCGCCTTCTCCCGCTCGGGTCGGGCGCCGCCCCCAGCACACCGGGTCCCGGGGGCCAAGCACGAACCGGGTCCCTGGCCCTGATCGGAGGCGCCGCCTGGCTAGGCCGGCCTGCAGAGGGACGCGCCGCTGCCCCCACGACCCCGGGAGCAAGAACGCAGGCGGGAGGCGAGCTAGGTGACCCGCGGACCTCAGGACGCCAGGCCCGCCATCTTCCCGCATGCGCAGTGCGCCGCCCCCAGTGCGCATGCCCGCGGCGGCCGGCGCGCTCCCACGTACTGGTCGCCTCCTGGAGGCCGGAGCTCCGGAAATCCCGGGGACGGAATTAACGGAGAGGATGGCGAAGGAAAAGGAAGACGTGGAGCAGAATTCCAGGCACAGGGAACGGGGCGAGAGAAAAGAGGCAGCCCGGACAACGCAATAGTCGCCTCGGAATTCTTGACACTAACGACACTAATAACTGAAAATTCTGAGCCTGCAGGGATGTTAATTTACTCTTGAGCCCCCTCGGCCCATCTCAGGTACTTGCCCAGTGTTGATGCTTAGTAAATACTGGTAACCAAACCTTCGTGAAATTTTTTACTTCTCTGTATCTTTCTTTCTTTCCCTTTTTCCCCTTCCTCTTTTCATATGAGGAATAAATTATTGATTCCCTATTGTGTTAGATATCATGGCGGGGACAGGAGATACTCGTTTGAATTTGGCACGGACTCAACCTCAAATTCCGGTGGAAAAGACAGATAAATCAACGGAACATTTAAAGCGGGAGCCAGAATGTGTGTTTTCAGATCCTGGCTCCCACTACTTGGAAGTTTACCAGAACTTAAGCAAGCTACTTAATCGCTCTGTGCTTCAGTTTCCTCATCTGTTAAATGGGATCAATGCCAGTACTTGCCTCATAAGGTCGTTGTGAGGATTGAATGAATGAATGAATGAATGTAGACTACTTAGAACCGAGAATAGCACGTTTGATATAAAAAAGCGATACCACGTGGTAAGTAAAGAGTGGAAGGCAGCAACTGAGCTGTGATAGTTAGAACCAGGGGCTTCTAGGCGGCCCGAGGTGGGGCAGGGAAGGCTCCCAGAAGAAGGTGGATGCCCACTAGACTGTAAACTTCTTGAGGTCAGAGGCATTCCTTAATCTTTATATCTCTGGCGTCTAGCACAGTTCCTGGCAAATAGTAAGTGCCCCATAAATGTTTGCTAAATATTTAGAATGACGTGAAATAAAGGATAACCTAGGGGAAGTCTCCAGAAGATTGGATTTTGTTGCACAAGAGAATTTCCCAGAGTGTTTAAATGACACCTTTCCCAACCAGAGTCCCCGAGAAGGCAAGCTCTGGAGACCAGAAATGGCTATTTTTAATTCCAAAAACCCCACATAAATCTAGCGTTTGCTGTATGTTTAGCATTCTGCTAAATGTTTTGTACAAATTTTCTTATGTAAATCTTACATTAAAATTGAAAGATGAGTCCTTTTCTGCCCAATTTACAGATAAGCAAAATGAAGAGGAGTAAGATTTACAAAAATTACCAAAGGTACTGGCTAGGCAGAGACAGGATCCGACCTCACAGCTGATTAATTTGCTATGCAGATCCCTGGGTAGATTCTTGAAGGGTGACTAGATTTCCTACAGTCAGAGGTGGGGTCTGTGACTGCAGGTGGGGTGGTTTGGGATGGGGTGGGGGGCACTGAAGGCTGAAAGCAGAGCTGAACACAGCTGTCTAGAGTCAGGGCCGTGACCCCTCCAGACACTTACCTGTGACTTGGCTTTACCCTGAGACTTGATCATTGGCACATTTTTGAGCCTGTGCCTGGCAGAAGAGGAGATGCTGAGGAGTGAACTAAGTCAGAGGGAGGCCTTACCTTATGGTCCAGCGGGCCCCACACAACCCAGAGCACATAAATACTAAGTCAGAATATGTAAGACACCCTATAGGAGCACAGGGAAGGAGGAAAAATACCGAATTTAATATAAACGACAGGTGCTTTTTCACACACCTCCCTATGTGATAGATATTTCTAGAATACAGATGAGGATACAGAGGATCAGAGAGGTTAAATGACTTGCTCAAGACCACATCCTTAGGTGGCCGAAACGCAGGACTTTAGCCACCAAATCCTTTGCTTTGTCCACCATGTCCCACTGTGGTGCACAGACACAGTTCCCAGCACGGACATTCTGGTATTTTCCTTTCTAGCCCTGTTTTTGTGTTTTTTCCTTGGGACAAAATGGTACTAGGGAAAAACAGGATAGGCCCAGTGCCCGTGTGTGCCTGACTAATTCTGCCTTACCTGCCAAGGGATAGTCTACCTTCCTTTTATGGTAAAATTTCCTCCCCCGAAGTCTGTGAGGAGATGGCCACGTCCCATGGGGATTTCTGTGATGGCAGAAATGTTTTGTGCTGCCCAATATGGTAGCCATTAGCCACATGTGACTGTTGAGCACATGAAGTGTGGCTTTTGTGTCTCAGGAACTGAAATTTAATTTAACTTAATTTAATTTAAATTTTAGTAGCCAGGTAACTACTGGCTACCATATTGGATAGCACAGGTAGAGATACTAAAGTGTGGCTATCCTCTAGTCTGGCAAGATTCTAAGTGTGGTGTGTGGACCTCAGCATTGCCACCACCTGGGAGCTTGTTAGGAATGCAAATTTTCTGGCCCTACCTCAGACCCTACAGAATCAGAAACTCTGAGAATTTGGGTGTATTCTGCAAGGACTAGTCTAGCCTAACCCCTTCTTTTCCAGACAAGGAAACAGACCCCCACCCCATCTCCAAGTGCTGATACCCTAGGTAAATCAAAGCCAAGTTAGCTTTTCTAATGCTGTGTTTCAGGACTGAGGACGTGAAACAAATCCAATGGTCACCACTATAACCTAGCATTCGCTAGATGTTACAACTTTCTCCATATACCTTCTACTCCAATTTAGACATTCTTAGACCTTCAGCAACAGGATGAGTCCAGTGGGAGGCAAGGAGGATGCTTAGGAGGCTGTCAATCAACTAAAGGACAGCTGATGATGGCTCGAACTGGGCGGTAGTGGTGGTGAAAGTGGGGAGAAGAGACAGAGTCAATATAGATGCAGAAGGGACAGAGCTTGAGGGCTGGTTAAGTTTAAGGGAAGGCTTGGACCCCAGATGGCTTGAAGTCCAGGCCAGTACTTGAAGTTCAGGCATAGGTGAGATTTGTTCAAGGGGCAGGAGTAAGGGTAAGGTGGCGCAGGGCCAGGGGTTAGAGCCAGAGGGCAGCCACAGTGAGAGGGCTGGCAGAGACTGTCACAGTTGTTTACAGTAAGTGGTTTTGCTTTTGTTTTAAACTAATCAGCAACAAAGGTAACTGAGAGGGAGTAGCAAGGGAAATAGAAGGTAGATTTGGACTATGAGTGCCTTAGAGCTTCAAAGAAAAGATGTTTTCTCTCTTTCTTCCCTCCCTCCTTTCCTTTCCTTCCTTCCTCCCTTCCTTCTTTCCTTCCTTCCTTCCATCCTTCTTTCTCTTTCTTTTATTCTTTCTTTCCTACTTTGCTTCCTTCCTCTCCATCACCCCCCTTTATTTTTTTTAAGATGGAGGAGGCTTAAATTTTTTAATGTTGATGAGAAGGCGCTAGTGGAAAGGGAAAGGTTGATGCTATGATGGAGAAAGGGGAGGACCCTGAGGATGCTGACGGGGTTGCGATGCAGAGAGCCAGTGGAAGGGAAACTGGGGGCAAGACGAGGACTCCGCCTCCATGGTGACGGAGGCAAGTGTAAGGACAGGGGCAGGTAAGCTTATAAGGTATTTCTAGCAGGAAGCTGAGGGGGTTCATGCTCTGTGAAGCCAAGGTCATCTGCTGAGAGTAAGCGGAGATGGCAGAACTGGAGATTTGGGAGACATGCCAGGCACTCAGAGAATAGTCATGGAAGGATGGCTGGATGATGAACAGTAGAATAGAATAACTTGGGAAACAAATTAAGATTTTGGATTCTGCTGGAGATGACATCTGCAGTCCATGACTATTTCACAGCGGCTCTAATGACATATCCTCAAATGAAAACTGGAAATAGAACAGGCATGTGTAAAAGATGGCTGCGGAGAAACGGTGGCAGCAAGACCATTCCCCATTAGTTTTTTGTATGTGGTAGCCTGGGTCATAGAACCTTAGGCACAGAAAGAGGTCTTGGGGATGCTTTAGTAAAACCTTATCTCAGGGGGAGGAAACAGAAAACAGAGAGGTTAATGACTTGCCTGAGATCAAAAAGATTGTTTCCACGATTAAAAAATGGGCAGAAGAACTGAATAGACATAGTTCCAAAGAAGAAATGCAGATGGCCCACAGGCACATGAAAAGACACTCAACATCTCTAGTTGTCAGTGAAATGCAAATCAAAACCACAGTGAGATATCGCCTCACACCTGTCAGAATGGCCATCATCAAAAAGAAGACAAATAACAAACGTCAGTGACGATGTGGGGAAAAGGGAACCATAGTATACCGTTGGTGGGAATGTAAATTGGTACAGCAGCTGTGGAAAACAGTATGCGGGGGTTACTTAAAAAGCTAAAAATAGAACTACCATATCACCCAATAATTCCACTCCTGAGTATATATCTGAAAAAAATAAAAACACTAATTTGAAAAGATACAAGGATCCCAATGTTTATAGCAGCATTATTTACAATTGCCAACGTGTGGAAGCAAGTTGTGTCCATCAACAGATGAATGGACAAAGATGTGGGGTATATATATATGTATATTTATATACAATATAGTACTACCCAGCCATAAAAGAGAGTAAATTTTTGCCATTTGCAGCAACACAGATTGACTTAGAGGGCACTATGCTAAGTGAAATAAGTGAGATGGAGAAAGACAAATATTGTGGAATCTAAAAAAATACAACAGACTAATGGATAAAACAAAAAGGAAGCAGACTCACAGATACAGAGAACAAATTAGTGATACTGGTGGAAAGAGGGGGAGAGGGAGGGGCAAGATAGGGGTAGAGGGGAAAAAAGAGTTACTATGGCATTAGATGAAATTATTTGTGTGAAACTTGAAAATTGTGAAGTGCTATAGAATTTAAAGAATTTCATTCAGTAATAATAACAATTTTTAAAAAGATGGTTTTCTAGCAGAGCTGCCACTCAAACCCTGGTCTCTTCCTTTCCAGATCAGTAGCCTTTTTAGGAAGGTGATGAGGCGCTGGGACACACTTGGCAGAGAGGAGTGTGGAAGAGATAGAAGGATGCTG